ATGACCAATAATCTGTCGAACGATGCGGATCTTATTTGGATTATTTCGATAAACCGCACCGATCTGGCTGGGACTCTTTTGGCGGAATTGTAACCTCTCCAGTGGCCGGGTTACTTTGACGAGCTTGTGGATGATTCGATTGGAGTGGCCGATCCTCTTAGCATAATAAAAATGTCACATAGCCTTGAACGCCCGTACTCGTATCAGCCTTGAACGCCCGTACTCGTATCCAGAAGTGCTAGGGTGCCGACTTCGGGATTTCTTTTAAATGCTATTCCTTTTTTGCTTTCTTTAGTGCAGTTTTTGAAGGGGCCTTTCAATGGCGTTAGGTTATCCGACGTTGAATGAAGTGATTAGATTTCTGTCAAAAAGGGGCAAACTAACATGCCTACACTAACTAACGCCATATAAAATGTTTCTAAGATTGGACTTGGTCTGTGGCGGGTCAGAAACTGAATTGTTAGGGGTAGGGAATACCTAACATCCGAAAATTCAGTTTCTGATTCCATGCGTATGCTTCGTGCCCGTCTAGGAGTGGCGTTATCCCTAGCGCTATCCGCCCACTTGACTTCTAAATATGACTGACGAATACTGAACACATTTCTGTTGAGTACAACTTCAGCTCGAATCCTTCCTAATTTGCATTTTGCCGACATCTCTGCTTTTTATGAATTTCCTCCTGGAGAATCTTCTCTTTATTCTCGAGTGCTGCCTAGCTGGTTCACTTAGTTAACGTTCTGTGTTCCCTAATTTTACTGATAATTAAGATGTGTGAATATAATAGCGCACCTAAGCGTGCAATAAATAAATAAATAAAATAAATAAACCGACTACTGTTGGAACCGAATTTGACCTTGAGTCGGCTTCCTTTCTGTGTGAGGAGATACGGAACAAGAAGGGTCAATCCTCCATCGTCGCTCAGCCACCACACGTCGATGACTGTTTTCTTACTTGAGATTTTCTCCATCTCAGAACCAGCAGATGAAATGGATTCTTCGCTCATTGAGTAGGCGCCTTAAGTTTAAAAATAAACGTCATTACTAGGAGCTCAACTAGTCGAAAACTCTTGAAACAATTCTGTAGTGCATCATTAGCGAACAGTTCGAATTGGAACATTAACGAGCTTCTTGCTAATCAGTGAAAAAAACAAAATGCAGCTTTCAAGTTCAATTTGCTTGCCACAACCATGCTGAAATTCTATTCCTCAGGATTCAGAATTCCTCAGGATTTTCTTGATTTTGTATTGATCATTATTTATGTATTTATCACTCAAAATCTGCTTGAACGACCTGAGGCGGCCGCGCCCGCAAAATCGCCCCGGTCCCACGTGGCCAAAAAGGCCAAAACTCGCGTTGTCGTCAACGTGTTATCGATCCGTTTTCACGGCGAAGTGATCACTCTTTCCATCGATTTTTTTCCTGTTTTGCTTTTTGTGGCTGGAAGCTCGTCTGAGTTTTTGTCCTTGGCCACCATCCTGGGCGTAATATGCTTTCCGAACATGATCAAAGAGACATCTAATTTCTCCTGTGGAAATTCGGGAAGGTCACAAGAGGAGAGTCTTTCTCCTCTTGTGGCCCACTCGCCCACTTCGCCCGATTTCGTGTAGGGTGGAAGTGGACTCAACAAGCACGAGTCTATTGTTGTATACGTTCGCACTATATTAGCGTTCTTATGGGAAGTAGGGATGAAATAGACTCAATGTCAAGACAAATCAAAGCATTGAAGGATGAGAATTCTGTCCTCGATGGTTCCAGATTGTCTTCGGCTAGTAATAAAGTCTCCTTCCTGAACGACGTTTCCTTGAGCAGACCTAGTGATACAAATAGCGAATCGTTTGAGGAGATCGAGCGTGGAGGATCTGTTGTAATTGTAGGTGTTCCGGAAAATCGCAGTCACAGAAGTTATGATAGTGCCTCACGATTGTTTATGCGCTCGTCAATTCTTTGATTATCTCGCTGTTGTATGCCTGTTGTGTGTAGGATTGGGGTTCAAGGTGAACATATTAGGGACTTCTCTGGGTAGTGCTTCCAAGTTCGTTCTTTTCAAGAATTCATTTGAGGTTCGCATCTCAGCTGAAGCACTTTCCGCTTAAATAGGCGTTCGTGTACGGCTCTCATTATAGAAGGAGAACGTGGACGGATTCATGCTGAGAGAACAATATGAAATACTCAGATGGTCAAACACAATAACTTCTTTAGTCTTCTTGCTTACATCCGTTCAATATTAGGAATGCTAGTGATCTCGTATATCGGATTCGAGATGAGGATGGGAAGTGGTTGCTTTCACAGAGACGTGTAGTCTGAAGTCGTCAGTAATGGGTCTGCTTTTGAAGAATATTGGAGCCAGTATGAAATACTCAGATGCGATAGGTGATAGGCGCGGTGGCAGAGTAGCTATCATCGGGAAGAAGATTTTCTCGCCTCGTGTAATATAATATATTTAAGGAGTCAGAGGGGAATCATGAATTTATGCGCGTGGACTTTGACATTGCTGACCAGATCAGTCCTGGTTCATAGAGCGCCTTCATGTTCAGCGGCCATGATTGACCAACTTTTAAGAGTGATTGGAGACTTAGTTGAGAATAACATTTTCTTCCTTATGCACTGCAGTTTCAATCCCAGAGGTACTGTGGCTGGAGAGGTGTAATCCTGCGGCTAATGGTTCTCGTGCTTGGCACGTTTTGGACATGTGTCGAAGTCTAAATGTTAATCAACTAGTTGAAGGAAGCACCTATGGTTTTAATATTTTGGATTTGCTTCTGACCAACGGTTTGGGTTGGTCAGAAATGCTAGGATCTTACCACCTATCAGTAGAAGTGATCACGCGTCTAGCTTATTTGATCGATATTGTTCTCGTCACCAATACGATATTCAAAAAGGCTTCAGAAGTGCGAATTTTGATCAGATGCTGATGATAATCAGATGCTACCGGAAAAAGAACCTAACGTGGAACAAGGCTGTAACGAGTGGTAGCCCAAAGGACTCGGAGATTATCACAAATTGAGAGATTTATCCGAAAAAGGCTGAAAAAGTTCTCTAGCCAAATAGAAATAAAGATTGGTAACGATGAGAGTACAGTAATATGTACACTGCCCTGTACAGAATTCGCTGAGGATGGCAGAGTATTATGCGAAGGCAAGGACAAAGCTGATATTTTGGCGAGTATATATTCGATAAAACTCGCGTTTCTGATTTAAGCTTCATGAGAGCCGAATGCCTGATAGATGGTGTACTTCATCCATTACTCCAATCCCGATATCCCCATACTTGCGCGGCTGATTTTGGACCAGTAAGCACTACTTCTACTTTTGCTAGGTTGCTTGGAAAAGATTCGAAGAAGAGAATTGTGACTGACTATGACTCATTTGAACAAGTACAAGTCATTTTTGAGCATCATCATGGCTTTCAGAAGGGCAAATCAAAGGTGAAGGTCATACTGGAAGGGCTCAATGACTATAGAACGTACCTTGATACCTGGATTGAAGACGGACTTGGTTTATTTGGACTTCGAGAAGGCATTCGGCAGAGTGTCTCATCATAAACCATAAGCAAAACTTACCCTCGTCTCTATTCATCCCAGAATTGTGGCATGGATCGAGTATTTTCAAACTGTATTGCCTTCTTAGTAGAGTTCAGTCAGGGAGAGTTGATGCTGTGTTCTCCAAGCACAGTGACGCACTATGGCGGGTTCTGTCACCAGGGCTCTTTAACGTAAACACTTTTGAACCGCCGCGACTGTTTATTTCCAAAGGAGTTAAGTGTGTTGCTTTCGCAGACCTCAAACTGTACTGCCCCATTTCATCTAATTCTTATGGAAAACTGTCGCAAGAAGAGAAGATGAAATTATAGCGAAGAGAGCAGATAAGAGCAAGTGCAATTAAAGACCTAGAGTTCCTGATTTGAAGACCTCAATTTTGATGAGCATTTTTCGGAAATTTCTCACAAAGCAATGGTTTTAATGTACAACTTGTTCAGGTTTTTTTTATAACAAATGATCCTAGAGTACTTCCTAAGGCTTGCCGATCCTACTACATTAGGCCTATATAAGTACGGAACTGCACCGTGCCTAACTGCATAAAATAAAAAGGCATCAAGGTATTAGGAAGGGTGCAGAACAGCTTCTCAAGAAAGGTTTTTCTTTCAAGACAGTCTGATTCAGTTATGACCAGATACCGAATAGCGAAGGGTGTGATCTCAACCTCGATCTTGAGACTTCAAATTTTAGAGAAAAATTTGAGCTTATAACGCCTTTTAAGATTATTCGCTTTTCCGCTCTCACAATCAGAGCCAATTATCTATTCGTAATCAAAGAGTCAATCCTTATAGATGGCTCTATGAAGCTCGTCGCATGCAGAGCAAAGTGTAACGTCAGACGTCATTTCTTCGTGAATAGGACCACCATGGAGTTCAATAGACTGGTTCGTTTGGGAGTACCCACCACCGGACTTTATTCCTTTGAAGCTGCTTTGGACAAGTCCTAAAACTTGTTCGTCATTGCTTGCGGCATTTCGCTTGAGCCGCAGTTTTTGTTTTTTTTCCTACTTTTACCTCGTTTGCTTGTTATTTGAGGACTCTCGCCTTTCTTTTATATATGATATAAATTTATTGTACCACACAGGCAGACCTGTGTAATAAACAGTTACAACAATTGTAGACGTGCTGCTCTGCAACTAGTCCGCCGTTTTCCACAGAGCGCTATACCTCACTTTCTTTGCCGCTTTGCAGCTGCTGGCAGCAGGATGCATTTGCCGATACTCAACCACTTCATCGTAATCTCTGCTTTAAAGGCAAAGGTCGGGATTAGTTGACCAAACCAACCCTTTCGGTCATGCCTGTACTTGGTTACGCACCCGTAGAGATGTTCCCACACTCAAAATCCGAAACGGCGCAGTAATAAGGCCCCAGGGCATGTACTATGCGCTATCGCCGCCTGGCCCCGCTACGACCGCCCACCTCGGGATGTGGTGCATGGCTGGCAAACGTGTGAAATCAGCTAGGTTGATTGCCGTATCAACCGATAGAACGACTGATATCTTCCAGAAAACTTGTTTGTACGTGCCTCTTCCCCAAGCCAGCCTCCTTCACTGCTAGTGGGAAAGAGGGTTTTGTTAACGGCCTTGTCGACGGTTTTTCTCAGTTTTTTCTCCACTGTCGTTCCACTTCGCATCTCTATACTCAGTTTCAATCGCCATAATACCCCCTTATTGAGCCCGACTTTTGCCTTTAAGACACTAAATCCACGGATGTAAAGCGAGGTCGGCGCGCTTGCATTATAGTGCATGTCCAAAAAAAGCCAAACTGTGCTACCAATGCAAAGAGTCAAAGAGTAATTCAATTCGAAACTTAAAAAGGTGCTGCTTCAACCAGATTCCTAACCTTACAGAAAAATGGCAAGAAGAAAACAATGGGCTTCACTTTGGAGAGTAATTTCTGCAGTTTTTCGTTTTGAATTTATGTATAAATTGCAAGTTGGTTGTAAGTTGGTTGTTCTCTCAAACCTTATTAAATTATCTTTCTCTTTCCGTGCACACTCATGAAAATTCTCAGATCACCTTTGAAGGCATGTATGCCGTAGAGGCAATGAGAGAAAAAGCGCGGAAAAGGATGAGAGAGAACACAACATAAGAGGGCGCCATACAACAGCCTAATAACAGAAAAAAAAAGATTGTAGCTACTGCATTTCGTTTTGCAAGCCCTAGCGCTATTGTCGGGCGATTACCATCACGTGAATGCCACATCTGTGATTGCTTTTTCGGAGTCTATTTCCTACCAGCAGAAAGGAATCGTTTTTACCTGCATTGTCCTTTAAGCATTGTCCTGAATGTTTGATTACACAGAGCTATTCAGGTCTCTATCAATTAATTTAATAGAACACTATTCTAGTGCCTAAGCGCCAGGAAGTTCTTATTGAAAACTACTGTAACTGAAAAAAATGAACCAATGAACACGAACAAGAAAAAAAAAACTAACAAAATTGCACTGAACTTTACTCAAATTTATAGAAGTGAGTTTCGCAAAGTAGGCTTTATTACCTCTATCCTGATGGTTAAAGAACACTCTTGTTCTGTATGTTGGAATCATATATAACACGTACTTGTTGAATTGAATGAACTATTCGATGAGCTTCGCTCGTTCGGAAGAACCCAACGCCCATATTACTGTATAACCTTTCTAATATAAACATTTACAGTTTTATAGCGTACCCTCAAATATAACAGCGATGAGTCCTTCGAGCAAGGTACGGTATAGTCGCCACGGTTTTCAGACCACGTACCCTTGCCGCTGCATTCGAAAGTGCGCTGTTGATGGCGCCTTAGGGCCCCACAAAGAGTACGACGATGATACCATGGGAAAACCTGCTGACGCGTACGTGCGATGAACCTACGGTTTAGCCAAACACGCGTGGCTAGTGACCATGAAGTAAATTATCGCCGTTCAGCAGTGGCTGCCAGGATAAATTCCAATTCGTCTCCCACACTATCAGATTATGCTATCTAGAATACTTATGCATTTGCAGTAGCTGAGAAGCATTATCGACATAACTCCAAGGGCGATGTTGTGAGAGGAAGTTCAGAGCTCTTGGAAGCACGATACATATGAATGCAGCGGCATTGAATGAGCCGTCAGTGTTTCTCTGCCTCCTCTCTTCTGCGAACGTCCTTTACGAGCGAGGGAATACCAATGCATCTACCAAACAAAACTCTCTTTGCGACTACTTCCTCTCGTTTGCAATACAGTCAAAGGGTGTTCAGGATTCTATTAGAGACTTCGGGACAGAACAATTCTAATAGTTTTTTTATGTAAAATGTTGATTTTTCTATCGTACTTGTGATTTAAGTTTACAAATATTGCATTGAAGTTCAATTACCCAAGTTTAAGGTGTTACACGTCAACAACAAGTTAACCGCGTGACAGACGAAATGATCAAGAAGGCCCTATTGTTTTTAGTAAGTAAGTTCATATGCATGAACCTTTCGACCTTTTTTTCCTTTTTTTCATAAGGAAAAGAAGGTGTCACCGTTAGGGGTTAATCGGCGGCTTGCTTTGCTTCTTTTTTCATTTGCAGTCAATTCGTCAATTTGGTGTCCACATTTTCGTATCATATTCTTTGGTAAATGAGTCCAAAAAGCCATTAACGACTTCACTTTCCCGGAAGAATCATAATGCTATCTCATGAAATAAATCACTGGTGAGGGCCATTCAGGATAAGGAGGGAAAAGACAAAAAATTGAGTTTGCTATGATAAACTAACGAAACCGGAAGAACCGCTACGCGTTCGAACTCCAGCCGTACATCTGTCACAAATGCTGGCGGTGGAAAGGCATCCACTTGATTCCCGAACTGCCTCACTAGGAACTCTTTTGACCTTTTGGCTTATTGTACTAGCATCTCACACTTCTACTCATCCTAGTCCTGCGTCTTGTCTCTATGCTCCGAAATCAAACGTTTTTAACCCTATATCTCTCAATGCGTCGCCTGATACATTGGGTCGACGGACTACTTGAACTCAGCCCTTTAAACCGTCTCTGCACTCTATCGCGGATCCCTCTTCTCTCTAAGGCTTAGTCCTAAGGCTGATACGTGGCCGCTTCCAAGGGCACAATCTTTCCATGCCCTCACTTGTTTTCGCAGGACCTGTCTTCGACCTTCCATAGTGTGTTTTTCATGGGTTTTTCTTTCCAGAAACTGAATCATCGTGCGTGAAATTTTACATGCGTCTCTAGAGATCACAAACTGATACATTCTCTGGTCAGAGTTCTATTAATCAGGGTGACAATTCGTGAACATGGTGTTGAGAGGAAACAAGATGGTGCCCTAACGCGCCAACTTTCTTTCTCTTCGGAAATGTATTCACCACACTCAACGTTATCAGACCCTGAGTCTTTTTGAAAGAATAAGGAGGTGTTCTTTGGATGGGACGGCGCGATGCTACATAATGTTAGATAACAGAATGGTCAATGGCGGGACCTTGCACAATCTGGAAGGCATGCTACAGAATATTATAATGTTCATCCTTTGACGTGTTATTTATGATCGAACCTATGAGAATAATATTGTCTGGGTCTTGTGCACCATTTTATGGCTACTCAGCACACCCGCATGTCATTTTATGATTATGCGTTGGGCCGATCCACATTGACTCTCACAGCCGAAATTGTTCAAATTGGTGATAAAGTCTTACTGTATAATGTGCATCGTATAACTTCGTATTCGACAACCCAGCGTCGTCTCCGCTTTTCAGCGCACTTTCCATGAAGCCAAGCAACACGATGTTCGGCGACATCCGACCCAGACCGCAGATCTGCAAAACTAGCGGGGAACATTGGAGTACAAGAGACATGTTCGTATAAGAGAGATTTCCGTGCAAACCTGGTAGAGCATAGTACAACGTTTCCAAATTGACGAGCAAACAACACTTTCAGATGCCTTTTATGTTCCCTCGCATACTTTTTTGCGACATTTCTCTACCGACCGCTTTCCACTTATGCTAGCCTCAAGGAGACTTCTAAAATGTATGCGTAAAAAAGTATTAAAGGATAAAAAAAGGATAAAGCATTTGCCGTTGATCAATCCCTTTTTGGGATGCGGCACGCATTCTACTTCCATTTGTACATTCGCAGTGGCATTTGAATGCGATGTGGCCTATACAATGACTTGCGGGGCCAGCCGATGTTCAAGTCAGTGTTTTTTATCCTCCCAGACAAGTCTGGTACCAATTAACCGACCCCGGAGGGATGGAAGGCTTGGTTGGCCCGGGCGACTCACGACCCAGGATTTGATCCCCGGACCGCTCGCGTGGTGAGCGCCACTTGTCACTACACCACTTCCGCCCTACACCACTTCCGCCCAAAGAAGTCATACTCTCTGAAACATCATCAACATACCGGTTCGTGTATGACATTCCCGCACATTAACAGACTTGCTCCCCGAGTGATGCTGTAAGCCAGTTGAATCAAAGGCGGCCTCTCGTGTGGAGCTCCGCTCAATACGAGAACCTAAATGTCACATATACTGCACAAAGAATACGAATTTCTGTTAGCTAGCGACCATTCGACTTGGATCGCCTGGAGTGCACAATTTGAATGTAGTGATTGTGACGGCTCGAAAAATGAGCTGATTTGGGTCTTCATTGTTCAAAAGACGCTGGAAGGTGTGTCGAACACACCTTTAACACATTGCGTACCGAGTGCATCACATGGTGATGCACCAGATTCAAAACTCAAATTTCTATTTTCTTTATGAAGCAAAACTGATCAAAAACTGTGGTCATATGTTTTCGAACATGCTTAATAACATATCTGCCTGGGACTTCACCAGCTGAGAAAATATGACGTGATCAGACACCATCTTTCGTTAAACAAATCTCACAACAACTTTTATTGTAATATTTCTCCTGTACTCTTCTTGTAACAAATTGATAACAATCATAGGAATTGTACTGAAGTTAAAACCATTAGGAGCTCCCGAAACATCATCATTTTCTGTTTCTCATCACTTTCAGTAAGCAATTGTACGAATGAGCTCTCCAAACCTTCCATCTGGAATACTACCAGAATCGAAACCGAAACTTGACTGGATTCAACGTAGCTTTCGGCAAATGAGACAAATGGATCACAAAAGACAATGTGTAGAAGCAACTGCACCATTGGCCTGATCAAAACCCATGCATCAAAATTTCTGTTTTATCTCCTAAGATGTATCACGCATACAAGAAGTGCTACGAGATGACTGCATTAAAATCAAATAAGTTGTCAAGAAATGGGTGACCAACAGAATTACTCAGATGACAAATACTAGCAATACAATATGCTGCTCTCTATGTGCGAACATATCATATAACTTGTTACGGTAGTCGCAATCATGGGGGTCAGTAAGGAACACATTAATGGCTTCATGGCGAAGATAGGGAGGGGAGGGCGTAACGCATGTGAGGAGACGTGATAAAATATATTCTTTGTAGTTTCAGTCGCTCCATTCCTCTAGCTTTATGCGAAGGACGTATTCGAAAGCAACACAATAAGTGATGGAAAATATGGAAATACGCTGTACAAATGAAGTTGTTCCTTAGGTTAAAGGAGTTACGAAATGTGTTTACCACAATTTGTTATGAGTGTTAGTCGTACCTGTGGGCGATAATTCTTCACATGAGTTTCGTTCTTGGTAAGTTTCATCACTCCATTAAAAGCATGTTTGTACGTGGTAGCCGTAGTGGATGTGCCCCAGTTGATGTCTAGAATTAAGTTTCGTGCTCTCGCTAAATGTTTAAAATGTGTTTACTTGTGTCAGTCAATTGCAGTTCTTTCAAATATGGCGAATATATAACGTAAGAGAGAGAGAGTAGATAAGACACTCAGTGTTGGTCGACCCGCCTTCAGAAAGCGCCCTGCATCCGAATTCCATTCAGATTCGACATATGACAACTGAAGGCGGTTACTGCGACAACTGTAGGCGCGCTATCAAAGGTGTGTGAGGTCCCACAGACTCCAAAACGTCCTCTGCTCAAATAAGCACAGGATCGGCACATGGAACGGATCGTAATGGTGGCGTGTTTGATATGACACGGCTTGGTCCTTCCCCCCAGGAGTTTCATGATGGCGGTAAACTCGTCCACTCACATTTTGGCAGTTTTCACGGCTTTTTTTTCACCAACTGACCTTTCAACACTACTGCTTTCATTTCGTCAATGGCACGATGCCAGCCAATGTATGCGTCATAATTTTTCTGTCTCAAGAAAGTGAGGCTTCAGTACCGAGCCCGAAGAGAGAGTATGCCTTGGTTGGTTGAAGCAGCTCATATTCAGAGTTCGAGCAACAAATCATGCCTTTGTGGTTGGGCATATCATGTCTTCACTAGATTCAAGTGACTGTTTTAAAATATTGATATTGAAATGAAATCACCTGGTTTTAAACGTTTTATAAAGGCGTAGACAGCAATGAAGAACGCGAAGGTGAGCAGTGCTGTTGGCCATGACATAATGAACATGATTGAGACACACATGATGGCTCCAAGCAGTGACAACCATGGCGAATAGAATCGAAAAGCCGGACGGAATCCTAAGCTATGAGCAAGAAGTTCACTCTGTGATGACAAGTTTTCGTCCTTTAAGAAGCTCTTCAAACTCCAAGAAAAAATTTGTCAACGTATTGCACGTTGGCACCTCTCTAGGCCTAGAGAGAGGGACTGTTTATAGGCAGTGATCACGATGACTGAAGGGCGTTGCAGGTTTGATGACGTCATTATTTAACGCCCTTACAAATCCATTTTATGCCTTTAATATAACATTCCTAGCAGAAGCCCTGTTGAAGAGTCTATTCAGTGGATGGAATAGAGTAGCTCTCTTCCATGCCGTTGTCACGTCTAGGGTGCGCGACAATGACGCTAGGCTCTCAGAGGGTCGACTTTTGGCGACTAATCCTAACATCTGGACGAGTTACGTCGCGCGTACCCCATGGCAGGCAATGTGGATTACGACGCAGCGGCCAATTCAAACAGCTGGGCCGTGGAGCAGGCAAATTCGCACATCTCGTATGGCCACCGCCTTCTCTTATTTTAAGGGAATCTTGTTTAGGCTTCATCGACGGTTTTCTTTGCTTCTTTTTTCATTTTTAATCAATTCGGCATCCACAACTCCATTATCGACCGCTGTGACCCCACAAATTCGATGTGGAGGTGTTGGGCGTCTAATAAGAGGCCGTCGCGCGGCGAAGGAAGAGACGCAGACGCGGCAAAGGACGAGTCGCAGCGCATACTGTAGCGGTTAGGCGTCAGGTTAAATAGAGTGTACCATACTACGTCTCATATCGCACAGCACGCGCTGCGACTCGTCCTTTGCCGCATCTGCGTCTCTTCCTTTGCCGCGCGACGGGCCTCTTGGGGGACACCAGGAGGTGTTGATTCAACAGGCGGC